ACAGCGTGTGCTGGAATCAAAGGGACATAGACCAAGGAGGAGAGAGAGGATGGAACTGTTCCTTGAAACAGGGCTGGATTTAGTGGTGCCTTAGCTGCGGTTTTGGCCTCTCTCTTCCAGATCAGCAGGACTTTTGCGCAAATGCGGTGCTCCAGAAAATACCCTGGCTCCCAGGAACCTCGTTGTCTTTCAATGGGAAACTAACCCACCCACAATCTGCTACTGCATGGCAAAGGGGCAGCTGTCTGGTGGTGACTGATCAGAGTGCCTGCACGGTGGCATGCACTGTGCATTTCCCTGTGGGCTGTTTGAGTCTGGTTGCTGATACAGCATGCAGTTTCACTGCACAATGCAGCTGTACATATTCCCGTTGCCATGTGTTTGTGTATCTTGCCTCTTTTGTATATGATACGTGCTTATCCTTGCTGGGTGATCTTGGATTTCCTGTCCTGTAGGCCTGCTCCTGCTCTTGTTGAAATCAGCAGCAAAGCTCCTATTGACTTCATTGGGCACAGGATCAGGCCCTATATTTATCAGTATTATTTATTTCCAGGGGTGCAACGTGCTAAGCTCTTTCCAAATGGAAAAAATAAGGCACCCTGCCCTGCCTGCCCTGGCCAGTTCACAATCTACAGGCAGAGAACTGAATGGAAAGGGCAGGGGGAAAGGGTACAACATATACACAGGCATGTCAAGAAATGCATAAATACATACAGATAAACTTTAAATAGGCTATGAAGATGATTCCTGAGTTACTCCTCAAACCTGACATTGACAGGCAACAAGTATAGTTGCTCATTTGTGCAGGTTTGCTCTGACTTAGTGGTTCGAGCTTGTGGTTAAGAGACCTGAGTCAGCCTATTTTCCTTACTTCTGCCACCAACTCGCTGGATGACCTTGTGCAAGTCACGTTGCGCCTCAGTTTCATGATGACACTACCCCTCCTTTGCAACTCCCTTTGAGACCTGCAGGTGAAAGGGGCTGTATCACTGCAAAGCATATGATGCCTACAGGGGAGGGTTTTCTATACCCCAGTGTATACCGGTGGATTGTGGTTGTGGGTGATGGGCAGACGTGATTGTTTTCCCAGGCACACATAGCTCTAAGTGTGTCTGCATGCGGTCAGCAAACCGAACGAGAAAGTGACCTTTGTAGTTGCTGAGCTGCTGCATCATTTATAACAAAGTAAAAGCAGCGTGTGAGTCCGTCTCCTTTTCCCTTCCTGTGCCTCCCCACAGCCTCTGCTCATGACCTAGTTCTCCTGGAGGGAGCTGTTGCTGATGCCAGCTGTGAAATGTAAAGGCATGCAGGAGCCAGCTGGGCAAGAGCTGTTCTCACAGGTACTGACAATTCAAACCAGGGCTGTCGTGTTTCTGCACTGCCCGCATTTCCCCAGAGAGCTCTGGCATGAACTCGGGGAGGATGGTGGGGAGCTATGCAGAGTGAATCCATTCCCAGCAAAGGAGGGTTTACATGCAATTTCAGAGCTTCTTGATCGGTCCTCACTATTCAGAGACAAGCCTGTGCTCTGCTGTTCCCCTGTGACCGGGGCTGCCTCTCTTCCCGCTCACTACTTGGCATTCACGGGGTGAGTGGCTTATGGCTGTGCTTCAGCACCCCTCCCTCCATGGTCTCAGTGGCAGAGGAGCAGTGAGTCACCTGCAGCGTGTCATGTCAGGGTGACAATGTGAGCTGCTGCTTTTGCACCAGGGGAAAGGATGGGTCACTTGTCTACTGCCTCATCCTTTCCTAAATGCCTCTTGCCTTCGCCTCTGCCTGCAGGACTCCTGGAGAGAAACGCAATGATCTCAGCTGGAGTTTAAGAACGTACGAGCTGCCATACTGGGTCAGACCAATGGTCCGTCTAGCCCAGCAGCCGTCTCTGGCAGTGGCCTGTACTTGGGTAAATCCCAGGTGCTAAGCGTTAGCTAACAAATTCTTCCATCTCCACAGGAGTCCGCACTCCTGCCAGGGACTGGCGCTGGTTTTGCGAGGTGGTGCTTTCCTCTTGGCACAATGACAGGGAAATCCCAGAATGCAGTGGTCTTTAGAAACCACCCTGGAACAGAAACCACCCCAAGCTTTGAGGAAGTTCAGCTCCAGGTTGGAACTTTGCAGCTAGGGCCCCTCTGCCAGCTGTTTTCACACCCTCTCCTGTTCCCGTTTCTGTCTGGTTTTCGGTCTGTTGTGTAACACCCCAGACCACACATGCCAGATGGCCACTGCTTTTCCCGCTGGAATTGCTGCATCTACTTGGGAAATAACTTTGTTTTAGCACCTCTACTCCAAGAGAGATGAGCTTGGCTCCCGGGGCATGTCTGCTATTGGCTTCTCCTTGCACCATCTTCCACCATCCTGTTATGAAGGCTACAGCCCTTTCCTGCCCCCTCAACATGTACATGACACGCATTGTGCACACATGCTGCCCAGCATCGATACCAGCCATTCACTGCTGTGTTCTGGCTCATCCCCATCCCATGCGTCACTTACACCCTCCCTGCAACCACCGATGGACCGGATCTGTTCTGTCTTCATGTGGTTCATATCAGATAGGAATCCAGGGTGTTTACCATGCTAAACTGCCCAGGATAGGCTGTCGGGTGCCACTTCTACCACTTGTCCACAGCTGCTCCCCTCCCCCGTACCAAAGAACTGACCCCCCCATCCCGCATGCACACAACACCACCAGCAGTTTTCCTAGAGGTGGAGGCAGATGTCCAAGGAGACAGCCCTACATCAGGAACATGGCAAGAGCCTGCTTTCAGCAGAGAGGAGCCCAAGCAATTGGGCTCAGATTACCCCAGCTCCATCTCTAACAATCAGAAAAGTGGCACTAAATATCCAGTCTGGATTCCCCCTGTGACTGGCACAGCTGGATGGGCTGCGCACTAGTGAGCAAGCAGGTGGCAGCTGCCAGTCATGTCGGGCATGAGCGTAGGCCAGCAGAGCACTCTTTTGGTGTTTCGTTGCACATTGGGAGGAAGAATGATCAGCCGCAGGGAGGCCCTAGGGAAATTCCCAGCAGCAGGTTTGAGGCCCCTCTTCGCAGATCAGATCATTGGCAATTCCACTTGCCCCTACTTGTGGCTCAGAAGACTAACAGAAAATGGACCTAACAATATCCAGATCTCAGGTCCTGTTTGGATTTGCGTGGGGCCTAGTGTTTTGTGGGGCTGGTGCTTGGCCCATTTTAGAAAGGGGGAGGGAGAGGCAGCTGGATGATTTAGATCTGGAGGTGATCTTCCGCAAGGAGAGGGAACAGGGAAGGTTTGGTTTAGACTGACACTTGGAAATCCTGGAGTGAAATTCTGGCCCCATTGAAGTCAATGGCAAAACTCCAACTGACTTCAATGGAGCCAAGCTCTCACCCCTGATGTTTACCTAAACTCGCTAAACCTCTTGAGTTTATGAACTCAGGCAGGAGATCTTCTGAGCAGTGTCTAAACCTAAATATTTCCGCCTCAAACCATGTCCAGCTCTACAAGTAGGGAGAGGTTCAGGGAGGGCTGTGGGATGGGGCCGTCTTTGTATTTTATCCAAACCGGTTCCCCGCACAGGAATGCTGTGAGGAAATCCTGTAGTAATTCCTATAAGTCAGACAAGGGGAAAGCCAAGAAGGGTCATCTGCACATCTGAGGCAGTTTCTGCTACCTCTGCCGCTCCCCCAAACTTAAAGGAAACGTTGTAATTCTTACTAGTGAGAAATGCACCAATCCAAGTGTTTCTCATAACACAGATCAGTCCCAAGACCACAACCTGCTAATCTCAAGGAACAACATTTGCAGCCAGATTTCAAGCACCCCAGCTTTCTCCGTCTGGGGTTTCATCCTGGACCATTGTAAGGGAAGGAGGGCATTGGCCAAATATGCATCTGGATTCAGCTTTCTCTCAGCAATCATGGGGGGTTGGAGCTGGAGGCTGAAGTTCAGGTTCATCCTTAAATCAAACATTTTTGCTCAAATCAAGTGGCAACTGGTCATTGCTTCTATCTGCAGGGGGTTAGTCTACTCTAGATGACCTTGCAGCCCCATCTAACCCTATGATTCTACAGCCCCAGCTTCCCCTCCCCAGCTCCTTCTACGGTTCTTCTGCACGCTCCTTTACACCTAAGGCCTGATTCCCATCCCACCTACACCAGAGGTGCACTTGGGTAACTCCACTGACTTCAGCAGCGCTATTCCTGATTTACACTGGTGTGAGCGAGATGAGACTCAGTCCCGGAGTCTGTGCTGCTCATCCGGGCGTACCCAGAGGGTTCAGAAGCACAAAACAAGATAAACATTCAATAACAGTTCAAGCTTCTTCGAAAGAAAACAAGTCCTTCTACTTTAGAATGAGAAACCCAGGTAGCAACCTGCCCCTTTCTTACCCCTGGACAGACACGCATCTTTCCTTTTACCTGAAGGTCTGTGCAACACACAGTATGGTGCTGTAAGGTAGTTTCCGTATCCTAATCCCAATGCAATAATGCCTCATTCCTCCAATGCTCATTAGCTATTGCCACATGCCCCCCTCCTGCCTCCTTATGACCTTCGTACCAGCCTTAGCAGGCAACTTCAGCATTATCCTTTATACTGACACTGTCGTCCGACAAACAGATGGTGCTGTCAGAGACAGATCTGTTTTGGTTTCATCCTGGCTTGTAAGTTGCATTATTTCACCCAGGAACCTAGTACACATAATTCCATCAGCAGGGATGTGAGTAGAAACCACTGAGCAGAAAACTGTGTACAGCTATTTCCTCCTTCTACACCCTCCCCACCCCCACCAACACTGCACACAGGGTATAAGGTGACCTTTCCAACTGAAATACCGATTCCCACAAACTACATTATAAGGCTCCCCCCCCCCATATGTTGAAATCAGAGAAGTGCTGCGAAATTGTCCATGATCAGAGCCAATAGGGACTGAGAATGGTTCCTGTCTATTTGTCACTCCTTTCATTTCATTTTCTTTCTTTTTCTTTTTTTTTTTTGTTTGTTTCTTTTCTTTTAAAATACCTGATCAGTATGGAGACCCCAACATCCTCGCAGTTCGTGTACACTCTGCTCCAGGTCTCTTGAATCACCTTTCTCTCGGCATCTGACAGCTCTTCGCTCCTTTCCCATCTCTCAATCTCCATTTCTCCCTGGACTTTCTCCATGAAAAACAGCCGGCACAATCCTCCAGGAAGCCAGGAGGAGATAAAGAGAGATGTGTGGGTATGTGTATCCTCTGAGAAAAGAAAAAGGTGTTTGTTTGGTGGTGGTGTGGATGATATTGTCTCTGTCTATATCTGTGTGTCTATATATGTGTGTGTGTGTGTGTGTGTGATTAAAAATATATCCAAGAGGTATAATGCATGTGATTAGATTTCAAATCTTCTAGTGCTGTCCATAGCTGTAGTTTGCTTCAGCTCAGTGTGTGCATGTGTGACTCTGACTCTGACGGGAAACTGACTAAAAGTAAAATATTCAAAGGCATTGCAAGACCAGCCTCTTTACCAATGTGTGAACGTGAGCTCACTTTCTCTCCCTCTCTCTCCTCCTCTCTCTCTCTCTCTCGCTCCTTGAACAGGGAGAGATGAAAAAGAGGTTCTGTGGAACATCAGGATCGTCTGCTTAGGGGATTTTATGACTACAGGTCTTTTTTCAGCCCTTGTAAACAACTCTGAGGAAATGCAGCATCCAAAGTGAGCAGTTAAACTTATCCCAACAGCTGGCTTAGCCTTTGCTCTTTCTTCTCTCTCTTGCGTTACCTAATGGTGCAGGAGATTGTGTTTTGAAGGGAAAATCCCTGCTTGCTTCTGATTTCTACTCTGTGTGTTTGAGGCTGCGGGTGGAAGGCAAAGGAGAGAAATACCTGTTAAATCAAAGTTTAACTTCAACATGAGCTAAATTATTTTCTGTCCCAAGGGGATATTTTTAATGATAAGATTTTGCTTTGTCTTCCTTTCTCCAAACACAGTAGTAGAGGAAGGTGGGCTTAGGGCACGCTGGGAGAAAGTGTATTGGTGTATTATTATTAATTAGTGTTAATAATTTTGTAATGAAGATTGCATTGTTCAGATATTCCCACCCCACCTCTCGGGTAGGGAAGGAGACTGAATTAGAAGAGAAGAGAAATACTTGTGTTGTGGGTTTGGGGTTTTTTTTAACCAAATGACATTTCAAACTAATTGAAAATCAGGAATATTGTACCTGCAGCACAGACATTTGCATAGATAGAGAGAAAATCCTACAGGGACGTGTAATAATAGACAATACCCAGATGGGGATCGGAGACAGAGAAATAGACAGACTGAAAAAGTGTGTAAACATATCAGTCTCTCTCTCTCTTCTCCTTCATCTGTTTGCCTGTCTGTGTGTTCTCTTGCAGGGAGAGAGATTGATCAGACAGACTGACGGACAGGCCAATGCTATAGAGGGAGAGGCAGATGCAGCAAGCAGGCAGATAGACAGACCGAACCAGTATGAAAGACAGGCCCACCGGTGCTACATAAGGATAGCCACACAGTGCAGTCTGATTTGTTTTCTGAAGCCAGGTCCATGCTGAGCACAGCGGGCTGCTGGAGCACACGTGCACCACAAAGCAGAGAGCGTGTATCATGTGCCTGTAACGCAGCTGTGCACAGGGGACATTGCTGGAGCAAGCATGTACCCGTGGAGTGCACTCTGGGAGTTGCTATCACCTCCATAACTTAGGAGCGAAGAGCAGAACCTGGGCTAGCAGTCAGCACTCCAGCCTGAATCCAGAGTGAAGTGGGCGGTGCTATCTGTTGATCCCCATTGGATCTGAGTACCTGACAATCTTCAGTGCATCCCTCTGAGGGAGGAAAGTGCTATTATCCCCATTCTAAAGGCAGGGGACTGAGGCACAGAGACCAAGTGGCTCATGCAAGGTCACACACAGGAAGTCTGGGGTAGCACTGGAAATAGAACTCATGGCTAGGGACTCCTAGACTAGCACTCTCACTACTGGCCCATCCTCCAGAGCAGCAGATGCCCTCTAAAGCAATTTGCCTTGGCTGTACTATGGTGCTTTGTTGTCACTGTATGTCTTTCTTTCCCCCTTTGTTGCACTGGCAGTTCCCTGTTGCTTCCAGTGGGGTTTCATGTTCTTCCTTTTCTCTTTTGGGTCCTGACTTCTGTCTCTGTTGCTGACCCCTGCCCCTCCCGCCAGGGCTTTTCTGATCAGCAACAGGGAGAAGAGTGCAGGGGACTGGACTAGATGACCTCTCGAGGTCCCTTCCAGTTCTATGATTTTATGCTTCTATAAGATAGAAGAATGGGTGTGGTGGAGCAACTTTTCCCCCATTTTGGTGAGACAAAGTGTTTTCTTTCGCCAATCAGAAGGAGACTATAGGGGCATTTTATTTGCCCAGGAAGAGAGACTCCCGACTGCACATGATCTATATTGCCAACCCAAAAAAAATAAAAAAATCAGGCCGGCCTCCAAAAATCACGAGATTGGCTTTAAAATAACGAGATTTCTAAAAAGAAAGGCGTAAACTGTGGTGGGGTTGATTTGCCTTCTGGTTTTTGAGCTTTTGGGGTTTGCATTTTCAAGCTTTGCTCCACAGCTACGAGGGCTAGAAACGTACTTTTCTTTTTTCCTTCCCCCCGCCCCCTTTCTGGGCATCTGAGATTTTCACAAAATCACAAGACTCTGGGAGCTGGGGCCTTAACCAAAATGAATCATGACAAAATCATGAGTTGGCAACACTGCATAAAGAGGCTGCAGAATTCAGTAAATTCATAATTTCAGTAATTACATCTTCCCATTGAAAATATAGGAAATCATGACCGAATCAATTTCCAAATTAGAGAGAGAAATAAACATTAGGGCAACCTTCAACTTATTGAAAAATGAGAAATTGCACTTACTGAAAATATGAAAGTGCATGCAAATAATCTAGGATGAATGTATAGTCTATTTCACTGTTTCCGAAGTATAGTCAGTTACATTGTTGCCAACTTTTGATTTGATCATAAATCTGGCAATATTGGCTGTTTTACTTAAAGCCCCAGCTTCTGGAGGCAAGGATGTGAGAATCTTACCTTTCATTAAAAAAAAAAAAAGTGTCTAGCCCCGTTGGTTGAGAGAAAAGCTTAACAATGAGACCTGACAGCATTCAAAGGCTCAAAAATATTTTTAAGGTCCCATGATTTTTAAGCCAATCTCACTACTAGTATTAATTTATTCATTTGTATTACTGTGGAGCAGGACTCCTCCATTGTACTAGGCGTTGTATGAACACAGAACAAAAAGACAGATCCCTGCCCTTAAGAATTTACAATCTAAATCCCATTATTTGGGGGAATCCGACTTGTTTTTTGAGCATTTGGGGTTGGCAATACTGCAGTAACCACTTTTCAATGAGCAAATCTCTCACACAGCAACAGGACAGAGGACACATTTTTAAAAACAAGAGCATGTGATTGTAACACTGTAATAAGGATGGGACACACAGATGGGCTGGTAAGGGCCTGAACTTTATTGCCTGGCCCTGGTCACATGACATGAGTCAGGGGGACAACATGTTGTACCTCTTGCCACATGGCAGTGGTCATTTTCCATGGTTTCCATTGGCTACTGTTACAACAACAGGCGGGGCACTCCGGGCAGGTACAGGGCACTCCGGGCAGGTTCAGTACATGAATCACTTTTAACTCATTTTAAAAAATTGAGTTCAAAATGACACTGTCTCTTTAAAATCCTGGACCTTGGTCATGCTACCATCCAATCAGCATTTTCATTTAATTGTCACGTGTCATTGCAATATTGTTTTGCAAGGTAGGTAAAGTTAGTATTGTGTGTGAAATATACGTACAGCACGGTACAGTACTTTCAGGGCCTGATTCGTCCCCTTATGAGCCCAATCCAGCTCCCAGTGTAGTCAATGGGAGTCTTTCAATTCACTTCATTAGGAGTTAGATCAGCTCACATGGTATCATATGTATATATTTGCAAAGTAGGTACCAAATGAGGGGAAGGGTGGTTCACCGGTTAGCATGCTAGCTGGAGACCTGGCTTCAGTTCCTGTCTCTGCCATTGACTCTCTGTGTGACCTTAGGAGAGTCACTTGGCTGCTCTGTGCCTCAGTTTCCCATCTGAAAAATAGGGAGAAGAGCACTGCCCTCCCTGATAGGGGTGCAGAGAGGATCAATACACTACAGATTGTGAGATGCTCTGAAACTGCGGTGAAGGGGGCTAAATAAAAGTACCTTAGATAGGCAGAGATGCTATTGAATGTGTAGGGCTCTGCCTACACTAGTGAAAAAGGTGTGTTTGGATAGCTAATACCTGACAGGTCTATTTATTCATATAATTCCCTTCCTATTATTTAGTATTTATATGATGGTAGGACCCAGAGGCCCCCAGCAGGATTGGATCCCTTTGTGTTAGGTGCTGTACAAACCATGAAGTTCCTCGGTGGCCTCATATTTATCGTTATGGATTGTTGCTGTGCCTAGCACTGTACGAAACACAAGATACACAGTCTCTGCCTGAAGGGCCTACGGTCTAAACTGGGCAGAGTAGACAGCTCACGACAGGAAGCCCAGAGGAGGGAATGGCCAGTCATTTGTGGACTCTTTTCTTGTGGGCATTGTAGGAGAAGTGAGTGAGAGAGAGTGGTGACGCGGTGGGCTGGACTAGGGAAAGGGCTCTTTGGGGTGGGAAAAGGGCAGCCTGGAGAAAGACATGAGAATGACCTGGAATGAAACAAACAGGTGAGGCCTCCAGGCTGGCACCGCTGGCAGAGCAAAGAAAGTTGGAGGTGATCTGATGGCAGGCGAGGCCAGAGGTGGGCCAGTCGGCTGGAAGAGTTGTTCCAAATATGTGTGCTTGTATTTGTGTGAGGGTTTAAAACTACTTGTGGGGGAGGGGTCCCCCCTGTTTTCTTTGCAGGCATTTCACTTCCCTTCTTTGCTTTTCCTTGTTCCATTTATGTTTGGTCACTTTCCCTCCTGCATCATTTATCTTCCTATTTGCCTTGTCTCATTCACTCTCTCCTCTGAATTTTTTAGGCAGGCCCAGTCTCTCTCTCTCTCTGTCCGCCCCTGCCATTCTCCATTTCAGTTACTCTAGTCCCCTCTCCTCGGCAGCCCCTCTTTTCTGCCTCTCTGCTCGGTCTCCCATCTTCACATCCTGCCCCCCTCT